TCAGCATATTATACTGATTTCTGAAGATCATGTGACACTGAAGACTGGAGTAATGATGCTGAAAATACAGCTTTGATCACAGAAATACATTACAGTTTAACAGATATTCACATAGAGAACAGCTGTTTTAAATAGTAAAAATATTTAAGTTTTTGCTGTATTTTGGATCAAATAAAAGCAAGCTTGGTGAGCAGAAGAGAAGAGACATCTTTTAAAACATTAAAAATCTTACTGTTCAAAAACTTTTGACTGGTCGTGTATATATACATACACATTTGGATTTAAATAATCAAATACTGAAGAGTTTAGGATTGGATCATTATTGCAGTGATTAGCTTTTCAGCTTTTCAGTTTTGTCTTATTTTGAATTAATTAAGTTTTGAAGTCAATCTTGGAAGCTAGCTGAGGCCTCTTAAACTATAATAAACTGATGGTAGTGTTTGTCAGTAATGATCAGTGCGACAGCAGCGGTGTTGGAGCGTGTGTGTGGATGCTGACCTCCTCCCTCGGCTCCTGCGCCTCCGCTCGCGGCTCCTGGAGCGCCTGTGAAGAGACGAGAGAGGTTAGGACTCAGCAGCGCAGCAGGGCAGACGCGAGCGGTGTGTGTGACCTCTGACCTCGGCCTCTTGCGGTCTCTGGAGCGTGACCTGCGGTGCTCTCGGCTGCGTGACCTCTCTCTCCGGCTGCGCTCGCGGGCGCGGGATCCCGTCTGCTCCTCCTTCTTCGAGCGCTTGGAGTCCGGCGAGCGGCTCTTAGACCTGGAGCCGGAGCGCTTCCTGTAATGCCTGCAAACACAACACACTCCACAAACTCAGTCTAGAGCTACGACACGAAGCTGCTCTCTACATCCACAGCACAGCTGCACTGAGTCTCTTTACACTGGAGCTCATACACTTTAACAGGGTTCATATTATTCAGAAATATTACCGATTTCACATAGACAGAATCGACTTTGGTTCACATGAATTTTCCAACATTAGCATTGTTATTTTCTTGCTTATCTCTGTGAAGCTGCTTTGAAACCATCTGTACTGCAAAAAGCACTTTGTGAATAAATGTGACTGTGTACAATATTAGTGTGTTTCCCTTTAACTAACAGACGTTTGTTTTGGGCTTTTGAAATAATTCAAATATTTATTACATAACTGTTCCTTTTTATTATATACCGGTATATATATGACCCTGGAGCACAAAAGCAGTCTTAAGTCGTTGGGGTATATAGCCAACAATACATTTTCTCAATATCAAAAAATTTACCCTTATGACTGGTTTTGTGCTCCAGGGTCACATATGTGTGTGTGTGTGTGTGTGTGTGTGTGA